GGGAAGCTGAAAATCCAGATCGGGACTCGTCATACGGACGCGTTAGTAGACGGGGGAGCAGAAATCACTCTCATAAGGAGAGATTTCGCAACGATCACGGGATGTACGGTAAACAAGTAAAAGGGAGTATCCGGGGAGCTGGCGGGGAACTCCCGTTCGCTGGGTACGTCACGAACTGTGCTGTAAAGGCAGGAGTCAGGGAAGCGATCTGGTCGTTTCAGCGGATGACCGTAATGGAGGAGATGGACTACGACATAATCCTCGGGAGACCATGGTGCGCGAACGTGGAGATGATAGGCATGCACTTGCATGATGGCTCATACATGGTAGACATAGAGGACCCAGTGACCGGCCGGGGAGAGCTCCTCCGACTCCTTGGAACGGGAGGGGACCCCCCAAAGGGGAAATTGGCAACATGGTCGCCATCGTTCGAGGATAGCACGCGAAAAGGGGCCTTCGCACGGATGGAGGGTATGAGAGAAATGGTAGAAATCATGATTGAGGAACCAATCAACAAGAAGGAGTGGATCAAGATGGGCCTGCCCCAGAAGAAGGGGAGGAAGGAGGATGAAGTCCTAGGTGTTATGGTAGCAGAAAAGAAGTCAGAGGTCGAACTTGGTGCTAGCCTGCCCAAACGGAAAGAAGTACGCATAGACGTGCGAGAAGTCGCACTCGAGATCCCCGATCTGTTACAACTCATCAAGGCGCTCAGATACCACAAGGTAGGAGTGGACTCAGCAGCCTTGGCCAAGTTCGAAGGAGAGGTGCAAAAGGGGTATTGTCTGAATGGGAAACTAGTTAGTATCCAACCACGAGTCGTAGAAGCAACGAGGGTAATTCCGACCGTTCATTTTTTAGGAGAAAGATCCCGGAAGGAAGTGTTAGAAAGTACAAGCCGGTGGGGACGAAAGCAAAACCGGTCTCGATCCTGCTAGAGACATCGAAGGAAGAGGCTATGGAGAAGGAGGAAGAGGTCCTTTGAGTGATCCGAGAAAGAAGGGCGACGGAGGGACTTCTAATACCAGATGAGGTGGCTGACACAATGAAGATAGGGATAGACAGGTTCTTAACGGAAGAAGAAACCCGCCTGATCAAAGGGACCTGCCAGGAGTTTCACCTGGCATTTGCCTTTAGTGATCACCAGAAGGGACGACTGGATGCGAAGCTGATCCCTCCGGTCAGAATCCACACGGTAGAACATGAGTGTTGGAATGACAAGGGGCCATCCTATGAATTTGGGATAGCAGGAGAAGAAACATACCTCCTCCGAGCAAAGATGGACTCCTTGGTTGCGGAGCGTACGACATCGCCATACGCAAATCGGTGGTTCGTCTTTCGGAAGCCTAACAAGACACTAAGGTGGATTCAGGACCTGCAAAAGTTGAATGCGGTAACCATTCGGGATGCTGGCTCGCTACCTCAGGCTGACTTATTAGCAGAATCGCACGCCAGTCGGAGCATTTACTCCCTGATAGATCTGCATTCAGGGTACGACCAGCTTCCGTTGGATGTTTGGGACAGGCCGTACACCGCTATGCACACCCCCGTAGGCCAGTTACAAATGCAAGTGACCCCTATAGGATTCACAAACGCGGTGGCCGAAGCACAACGCAGAATGCTCGTCGTGGCCGGGGACACGTTTCCGGAAAAGTGTGAACCCTATATCGACGACAATCCGATCAAAGGCACGCAGGAGAAGGACGAGACGGAAGTCCAGCCAGGGATCCGACGTTTTGTGTGGGACCACCTGCCGGTTCCTAGTGTACAACATTACGGCTAGTGGACCAACGAGTATCTTAGCAGTACCGGAGGTAACTATACTAGGATTTCGTTGCGGTGCTTACGGCAGGAAGCCAGATCCGGCAAAGACCGACAAGATATCACAGTGGCCGACACCACTACGCATGACGACGGAGGTGAGAGCATTCCTAGGAGTGGTCGGTTTCTGGAGGATCTTCATTAAGAATTTTGCCAAGATTGCGGAGCCTATCCGGGCTATGATCAGGGAAGAAGAACCATGGATTGGACGGAGAAATGAGAAGGAGCAGACCCGAAGCTTAAGGACATATTGACATCTGAGACAGTCGCCCTGTCCGCACCTTGTTTTTGTGACGAAGTAGGACGACCCTTCATCTTAGAGACGGATGGAGGACCTTTGCCCATAGGGGGCGTGTTGATTCAAAGAGATGAGGGAGGAAAAGAGAGGTCGATTAGGTTCGAAAGTAGAACCCTAAACTCCGCAGAGCGACGGTACTCGCAGTTCAAGAAGGAGGTCCTAGCCATCTTGCACTGTCTTAAGACCTTTCATGTCTACCTATTTGGGAGACGGTTCATCCTTAGGATCGACCCAACGAACGTTGTAGGGGCCTTAAAGAATTACAGGCCTATAGATCCGACGGTGGGAAGATGGGTAGGATTTATCTGGCAGTTCGATTACAAGATCGAACGGATATCGTGATTAGGAATAAGGCCGATGGATTGAGCCGGGTCTGCATCACTCCCGAAGGGGTGGAGGATGCGGAGCCCATAGACGCATTTCTTGAATATGGAGGGACCCTTGCGGTGGATAACGAAATGATGAGTGAAGAATGCGCATCGGGAGAACTATTGATCCAGACTTTAGAGAAGGGGGCACCTGTCGTAGTAGAAGAACTTAGAGAAGGATCAGTCACCACTCGAGGACACAGAGAAGAAAAGGACTCATGGGGAGCGATAGTAGGACCGAAAGAGGAGTTAATAGCAATGGCGGTCGAGGGAGGCCGGGAAGCAGTGATGAGCTTAGTGGAATCTTGGGAAAGGAAAGAGTTGCAATGGGTGGTAAATCRGATGCAGGAAGGAAAGGATGGGGGCCAGGAAGGGGAGGAGTTTTTCTACGTCCAATCATACGAAGGGCACTTTCGGGAGATCGGGCTGTTGCTGGTAGGAAACAAACAACCTACGGAAATCAGTATTAAAGCGAGAGAAGAAGCCGAAAGGTACATCCTAAGGAGCGGGCATTTGTTCCGAAGGGAGGAAGGTGCTATGCCCAGAAGGGTTGTGTGCGGAAGATCTAGGCAAGTAGACATTATCCAGGCAATGCACGATGGGTTGGCTGGAGGCCATCGATCGTCCAAAGGAACGCTTGCGAAGATGACGCCATGGTCGCCATATACTGCCAGACATGCCTTATTTGCCAAGAATGAAGCTCGGTGCGGGTCTTCGAGCCGCTTAGACCAACGCGGGTGCTAGGGCCGGGACATCTGGTCCACCTCGACCTTGCGGTCATGCCTGTATCAACGGATGGGTACAGGTATATTTTGGATGCGCGAGACAACTTGAGTGGGTTCGTGGAGGCGGTCGCCCTCAAGAAAAAGACAGGGAGGAGTGTGGCGGACTGGATAGAAGACTTCTACTTGAGGCATCCATTCGTCAAGAGGTTTATAGCAGACAATGGGATGGAGTTTGTGAACCAAGAAGTATTGGGAATGATTAAGAGACTTTGCGTACCAGTCAAACCCATCGAGCCGTATCATCCTGAGGCCAATGTACCTGTGGAAAGGGGGCACCGAACCTTGAAGAACACGATTGAAAGCTCGCAGCGGACCATCTGGGAAACTGACCTAGGTATCTTGAGCAGGCTGTCTTTGCAGAGAATGTGACCCCTAAAAGGACAACAGGATGTATCCCGGCAAAGCTTTGGTACGGAAGAGAGATCGACCTTCCTGTGGAAGCCTTGGTACCTACCTGGAATAGGTTAGATGATGATCCGCAAATGACCACTGAAGAATTAATCGAGGCAAGATGTCAACAAATCCTTAAGAAAGAGGAGGTCATGGAAGACATCGCCAACCGGGTACTAGACAGCAGAATGAGGGACAAAACAAGGTGGGACCAGGTTAAGAATGTCAGAAAGGAGCCACTTCAAGTGGGAGAGATGGTATTGGTAAGGAACTCGGCACTCGAGAGTACTTGGTCGGGACAATTGGGAAGGAGGTTCAAAGGCCCCTACCGGGTCGCCAAGCGGGTGGGACTGAACACCTTCGAATTGGAAGATTTGGATGGAACTGGATTGAAAGGGCCCTTCTCGGGGCAACAATTGGTCAGGTTTCTAAGTCGGGACCCAGTGGAACAATGGCTTCAGGAGGCCGAAGATAAGGAAACTGAGGAGCCACAAGCTAAAGACTGACCACAACCTTGCCCACTCTATGGTTTGTCTCTGACCATGTTCATGGGACTGTCATTTTTTTTTGGGGGACTGGCGCCTTGGCTTGGACTGACTGAGGTTGGAAGGCAGCGTGACTTGGGGGTTTGCAATATCTGGCTTGCGCGACGACGGGAAGGGATGTTTGGGGCATTGTACCATAGTTTTTGACGGGAAAAAAAAATGGGATCGTCACAAACGACGCTTTTTGCATAAGGGAGGGAAATGTATAAAAGGGGCATGATGCGAAGGATACTGGGAGCATTTTTTTTGGGAAAGGGTAGTTGTCTATCGGACTGTGGGGAATATGCGTATGCGGGGCATTGCGGGTGTTGTTTTGTTATACAGGACCCAGGAGAAAAACGAGAAAAGGCAAGGAAAAATGGAATTCGGCAACGAGAACGACAGCGGGGCGATCAACAGGCCTACTGGAGGGGAGGAAGCAGGACCGAGCCAAGGGAGGAGGGCAGCGAAGAGAAAGTTGTACATAGGACTCATGGGTGGGTCAGTGCTAGGCAGGGGTGGAAGGAAGTGCTTGTGTAGGAAACCCTCACCCCTCCACGAGGGAGAAGGTAAGAAATCTCGTCTGACAGTGAGGGAGGGAAGGAAAAGGCAGAAGTGGAAGAAGGAGGCAATGCAGAGATGGGAGATAAGGTTCAGGTCTCTGACGAGGAAGGAGTCAACAGGGGCAAGCGACGTGAGACTTGGCATGAGGAAAGCGAGGGGGGACAAGACATGCGCGGCGAACATGGGGAAGGTGAGGAAAGAAGGGAAAACCCGCTTGAAGGACGAAGCGGCCACGACAGTTGCGAGGGGTATGGGAGGGGGACAAAGATCCCTTTTACCTACGATCCGAAGAACGTTGCAGGTGGGTATAGCCCCATATAGACAGAAGACGAGGAGGACGAGGAGGAGGATGTACGAGAAATCATAGAAATCAGCAGCGGGGATGAGATCTCGAGACCTAGGGAAGAGGGGCGGCCTCCGATGCACCGGTCGGGCGACGGGGCTTTCAAATGGGAGGACGAGTTTGGACCAACACCCAGTCATTGGTTTCAGCAGTGGACCAATGTGATCAGGCATGAATGGATTGTCAAGACTCGGGAACTCACAAGGGCAGGGGTGGAAGCCACACCACTGGACTTTTTAGCGAGGCAGAGTTACGGAAAATTGTAAGGATAAGGGGAGAAATCGAGACCTTCGGTCTGGGGGTTAGACAGCCGGCTGAGGAACGGGGTGAACCAGGAAACGAGCAAGTTAAGGCACAGGACAGCAATAGGCACTAGATGTTGATTGAGTGTTGGGCAAGAATCCTGGGTTTTTTTCTCAATTGCAAAACATTGGAGCAGAATGTATACAGTATGAGTAAGCTTAAGGGATGAGTGATGGAAGGGTCAGCTAAGACTGTGTCGTGATAAGATTAGAAGATAGCATATTGAGGCTACTTTTGGATGAGCTACCTTCGAAAGTGGGTACACAAGACAAGGACATGGGGCATGGGATGAGACCAGTTGGGAAGGGTGTATTGTGAAATTTGGATGGAATGAGGATTGTGTTTTTTTAGCAAAGAGATTTTGAGTGCGGATTGACGAGCAAAACAAGGCATTGCATGTTGGTCGAGTACAAGAGAGGTTAGGGAACCTATGGGTTAAGGGGCGTGAAGAACACTCCTTCCCTAGGAGCCTAATCCAATTGAGTCATGAATGAGTCTGAGAATAGTCGAAACCTGAAGTGATCAGGAAGAGTGAAAATGGAAGGGGCGCCCTGTCTTTTGTTATGGATGAACGGCCGGGTGGGCTAGTACTGCTTGGGGTGGCGAGCCCCAACTCGAGTACTAGACACTAAGTCGGATGTACGCATACTGAGAGAAATGGAAAAAAGGGAACAGCACGCAAAACAAAACTGAGATGAGATGGCCACCTTCTAACCTCGAAAGACAAAAATGGGATCCGTAACCTCGAGGCCCACCCCCTCGGGCACTAACATTGAATGGAAAGGAATGGCCCTAACCAGGCTGTTCGACTTGAGAATGGAAAAGAACGGCCCTAACCAGGCTGTTCGATTTGAGAATGGATAAGAACGACCCTAACCAGGTTGTTCAGGAATGGCCCCTGACAAGGGTCGTTGCTTTTGACATAGGCACTAGGGTCCCCTGCATATCTGATTGAGAAAGGTTGATTGAGATTGTGCTGGAACGAGCAATAAGAGATGGAAAAGGTCGATGGGTTGGTCATTGAAATAGCCAATGGATGGACGGAAGAGATGGAAAAGGCCGGTGGGTCGGCCGTTGAAATTGCCAAGGGGGTGGAAGAAAGATGTGAATGAGAAGGACAAAATGAAGAAGGCGGAACCTTAAGGCCAAGAAGGGCAGGGACCGTTGGGACGGTCATAGAGGTTGGGTGTTGAGGAATGAGAGAATTGAGGATTGAATGGGCGGAAGGGTCAGTCTTGAGAAATGACTATTGAGAGAATGACCGCCAGACTGTGGGTGGCCTTGTTGATGAAGAGGTTGTCGGACCAGCCATGAGTATCAGCCTTGGAGATAGCATTGGATTGAATGATTGAGAATTGAATATTGCATTGCATAGTCAGGGGACCTTAGGCAACTTGATGGAAGGTCGTCGGGCCGACCATGGAAATAGCAAGAGATTGAGCTTTCCTTTTTTTCTAGTCTCAGGTCTCAACATAAGGGGGATAGCAATGCCTGCATCGCGACCCCAAGACCTCTACCCGTTAAGGGAAAAGTCTCAGCGCGACCTGCTCCTCATAAGAAGGAATAAGGGTTGAAGGACCAAAGCACCTCTCTCTTTGATTGATGCTGGCCGTCCGGAACTAACCTCGACAACGAGCTCTAGTCGGGGAGTTCAAACTGCGCCTCATGTTGAAACCTAAACGTCAAGGGCGTGGTGCCAAACGGGCGAGAGAGCCATTTTTTTTCCTAAGTCTCATTTTTTCTCCCCAACCACACGCCACGTCGTAGAGGGGCGGCACGACCGTTTGGAATGGACCACGACCGCTCGCATTAAGTTGAGCAGCACTGTCCAGAGGGAGGAATCAGGCGTGGTATCGGGTGGAAGCCGCAACCACCACAGGGCGAGTGACACCGCCTTGCCGGATCATTACAACCGTTCCGGGACTAACCGAGAGGTCTTCGTAACTGCACTCGCAGACTAATAGAGAGCCTTAACTCTCCTGAAAGGAAGAGGCCGGATCCAAGAAAACGCCGCTCGGGAGGAATGATTCGCGAGAAGGCACTTACGACAAGATGGGGTCCTGGGAGGCCTGGACTGGACCTACCTTCCAGATGTGGGGTGGTACCTCAGTAATGACGCCCGTCTCGTAAGCAGCAAAAGGTCGGACTGGAGTAGGGGATGAGGTGAGTTATCAGCAGAGGGAGGCCTGATCACCCTTCCTTTTTGGGGCTTATGGGACGACATCCGTCTACTCAGTTGGTGGGCCAAGGTCTGCGTACCTCCGAGTGTGAACTAGTCGTGCGATGGGGACATCGCATTTTGAGTGGGGGGAAGGTGTGCCATTTACCGAAGAAAAAACGTGCAAAAGAGAAGGATGCCATGAGCGTAAGGATGAACGAGTAATTGACTTTGCGCGAGCTTGAGAAGAGGCCTGGCCAGATGTCCAGAAGAGAAACGGATGAATAATTGACGTTGCATGAGCTTGAGAAAAGGCCTGGCAAGATGTCCAGAAGAGAAACAGGTGAGAAATTGACGTTGCATGAGCTTGAGAAAAGGTCTGGCAAGGGGTCCAGCTGAGGAAAAGATGTGTGAATGACTCCGCATGAGCTTGAGAAGAGACCTGGCGAGATGTCCAGGAGAAAAATGGATGAGTATTTGACCTAGCATGGGCTTGAGAGAAGGTCTGGCAGGATGTTTAGAAAAGAAAGATATGTGAAATTGGCTTTGCATAGACCTAAGGAAAAGTCTGACAAGACACCCAGAAAAGAGATACAGGTATAATGGACTTTGAAGCCTGGATACGAGAAAGGACGAATGAGGATGACACGCATAAGCTGGGCAAAATGACATGGGAAAAATACATGGGAACTGGCTAAGCATGACACTGAGGAAAGAATGACGGGAGAACATGGATTGCATGGGCCGAAAAGTAGATTATTTTTTTTTGACTCGAAACCAAAATGGTTTCTGCTCGAGAATGTTTTCTTAATGGGATGGGAAGATAGATTTGAGATTACGAAACACTTAAGGGGAGTTGTGCCTGGGCTCACTGATTCGAAGTGGGTATCACCACGGCAAAGGCGGCGGTTGTACTGGACGAACATCCCCCTCCCGGAACAAATGTCTGACATTGAGTCGCATCCGAAAACTTGCCTACAATTTGTTATCAACAAAGCCAAGGCATAAAATGAAAAAACCAATTGTGTTATGACAACAAATTGTCACCCTGGGAATAAAGCCAGCATACCAGTAGTTAAGTGCATGAAGCAAGCAGAGCCTCGTCTGCTTCATGCTACTGAAATTGAAAGAATTATGGGCTGCCCCGTTGGGTATACAGAGTTGACTGAAGAGGAAGTTTGCATCTCAATTGAGGGAAAGATAAAGAGGCAGAGCTATGACGGAAATGAGCAACCTGGTCCAAGCTGTAGAACCTTTGACTCCCCCATACCCTCCTCCACTCCAAGGGGCGGAAGTTAAACGAAAACTTTGAGAAAGAAATGGGAAAAGAACAAAACATACCCTGACAAACTAACCATCCATAACATCTCATCCTCCTCTTCCGTCTCTCTCTCCAAAACCCACTAACAAGAGATTGGTGCGCGATGAGGACATCCCGAATGAGTGGGGGGGATGTGTCGAGACTGGTGGGTCCCGAATAGCTTCCCATCACTCGAGAGATTGAATATGGACAAATTGTGCACAACAGAGAAATCTGGAGTGAGGAAGCAGGAGAGAGAAAAGACAAAGGATTAGGTCGCAGGAGGGAGTGAGGCCCTGAGGAGAGAACCACAGGAGGAAAGAACAAGCGGTGGCAAGCGAGCGAGCGCCAGAACAAGGGCGCATAGAACATAGCAGGAGGCCGGGAGGGCTATCGGAATGCAACAAGACTAAGGCCAAAGGGTCCTTTGAACTAGCAACTGCAGTGCGACAGCAATAAGGGAATGAAGAAGTCGAGGGATGGGCGGCCAGAAGCCGCGGGAAGCCAGGAAATGAGGGGCCAACGTGGGGGCCACCTACGGGAGCCTCGGAGCGGAGGCCCACGACCAAAGAGATCGGCACGCACAAGGCGCGAGGAAAGACTAAGGAGAGGGGTCGCTATATGGCGATAAGACGCCCAAGGGCCATGGGACACCTCGGGGAAAGGCACCCGGGGCCACGTGGGACTAAGTAAAAATAATGGCATCCGGGGCGAAATGTGTTGGGGACGGGACTAAGTGTCGAGGACCGCCGACGGGACTAAGTGTCGGAGACCACTGGCGGGGCTAAGTGTCGGGGACCGCCGACGGGATTAAGTGTCGGGGACCACTGGCGGGACTAAGTGTCGGGGACCACCGACGGGACAAGTGGCGGGGACATGTGAAAGTCCCAAGAAGAAACGTCGGCACCACATGAGGGAAAAATAATAAATGCAAGGTGCACCGTCAAGATCGACATCTTGACGGCCAAGAATATTAGCACCACTAGTGTAAGCACTAGTGGTAACAAACGGGAAGGCCAAAAGGAAAAGGAAAAGTAAAGAAAACTGAAGTGGGAGGCATGGGAGCAACCCGAAAAATCTCGGATCAGCCTCCCTCAAGAAAATAGAGTCAAATAAGACCCCATGTGAAAAATAGCCTTCAGGGAGAAAATCGGAGTAGGAGGGACCATTGTGGGAGAAATGTAGGAGTAAAAGGAG